AGAAGATCCGACCAGGATGGTTCCCTAGTTCAAAGCTGGTCTCCTAGTCCTTTCAAAAATGCATTAGGAGGCTGGGCGCGGTGGCTCACACTTGCAATCCCAGAACTTTGGGAGGCAGAGGCAGGCAGACACTTGAGGTCAGGAGTTCAAGACCAGCCTGGCCAACATGGTGAAACCTGTCTCTACTAAAAATACAAAAATTAGCCAGGTGTGGTGGTGCACACTTGTAATCCCAGCTACTCAGGAGGCTGAGGCAGATGAATTGCTTGAACCCAGGAGGCAGACGTTGCAGTGAGCCAAGATCACGCCACTGTACTTCAGCTTGGGCAACAGAGTGATACTCGGTCTCAAAAAAAAAAAAAAATACATTTGGTCACTTAATACCCTTTAATTAATCTCCTTGCATTTAAACTAGTTAGAGAGGGTTCTTGTCTGCCACTAATAATCCTGACCAATACAGACACAAAAGACAGAGAAAGTAGAAGCAGTTACGGGGGCAAGAGAGAAGAAAACCAAATGAGACTTTGTGGTCTGTGGGAAGAAAAGAAGGGTTCCATTGGAAGAAACTGAGAAATAGAGAAGTCAGCTTCCACTTAACTGATGAGAAGACAGAGTGAGTTCCTTGGAAAAGCCTCATATATTCACATGTAGGGGAGTGTTACAGGTTCAAAAGAGGAGAAGAATTGCATTCACTTGAGAGATAAATTCAATAGAGAATTCTGAAATCAGCAAACTATCCTTTTTATGATACATTATGCTTTGCAATTTACTAGTCAAATGCTTTTAAAATAAGTAAATATATAATCCCGTAGGTTTAGTCCTGTGTTGGAAAAGAAGCAGCTGTCTGATCCGTGACACAGATGGATTTGCTGATGAAGTACAGACACTGAGTCTGAAAGGATGTCCACAGAGCAGCTGGAGCTTTGTGGGTGGTCCTGAGACAGGAATAATACAGGATGGTCACAGGAGAGTAAAAATTCCAGACAGCAGTTTCACATGACTAAAGGCTATGGGCTGATAGAACTTTGAAAATCCACGGTGTTGGCCGGGCGTGGTAGCTCATGCCTGTAATCCCAGCACTTTCAGAGGCTGAGGTGGGTGAACCACGTGGTGAGGAGTTCAAGACCAGCCTGGCCAACATAGTGAAACCCTGTCTCTACTAAAAATACAAAAATTAGCGGGGCATGGTGGCACATGCCTGTAGTCCCAGCTACTTGGAAGGCTGATGCAGGAGAATTGCTTGAACCTAGGAGGTGGAGGTTACAGTGAGCCAAGATCGCACCACTGCACTCCAGGTTGGGAAACAGAGTGAGATTTTGTCTCAGCAAAAAAAAAAAAAAAAAAAGAAAAGAAAAGGGGAGCCTCAGCTTAAAGTGCAGACATGGCCAAGTCCAAGAACCAAACCACACACAACCAGTCCTATAAAAATGACACAGAAATGGTATCAAGAAACCCTGATTACAAAGATGCAAATCTCTTAAGGGGGTGGACCCCAAGTTCCTGAGGAATATGCTCTTTGCCAAGAAGCACAACAAGAAGGGCCGAAAGAAGATGCAGGCCAGCAAGGCCAAGGCCGTGAGTGTAGGTGCCGAGGCCACCAAGGCCCTCGTAAAGCCCAAGGAGGTTAAGCCCAAGATCCCACAGGGTGTCAGCCGCAAGCTCGATCCACTTGCCTACATTGCCCACCCCAAGCTTGGAAAGTGTGCTCGTACCCACATTGCCAAGGGGCTCAGGCTGTGCCAGCCAAAGGCCAAGTCTAAGGGTCAAACCAAGGCCCAGGCTGCAGCTCCAGTTCAGTTCCAGCTCAGGCTCCCAAAGGTGCCCAGGCCTCTACAAAGGCTTCAGAGTAGAATCTCTGTCTGCCAAAGTGAGGACAGAAGGACTGGTGCATCCCCCTCATCCCCCACTGCCTGGGCTGCCATCTGTGTGGGGCTAGGGTCCTCCTGTGCTATTTGTACAAATAAACCAGAGGCAGGGAAACAAACAAAAAAGAAAAACCATAGTGTGGGCCAACCTGGCTAAGATAGGCTGGATCCAAATAGGTCAGATGGCGCTGGATCTGACCTAGGTTCCTCCTAGACCTCATTTATGCATTCATTAGCATAGTCAACATCCCCCCCCACCCAGTGCCACGACAGTTCCGGGAACACCTGTATTTGGTGTAAAAATGGGTAGCACCACAGTTCTGAGAAATCACCACCTTTCCCAGCACTTTCGGAGGCCGAGGTGGGCGGATCACGAGGTCTGCCCTTCATAAATATTCCGATCCTTGGTTCAGAAATCCATAAAGATAGAAACCCCAAATTCCATTGCACCACTCTCTCGAGGATCCATGCACTCTTTCTTCTTGAGTGTGTACTTCTCCCTTTGCAATAAATCTCTGTACTTTCACAATTTTCTGACTTGTCCTTGAATTTGTTCTCACAATGCCATCAAGAGCCTGGACACCAGCTGGGGTCGAGGTCCCACCGGCATTTGGGGACCTTCCCTGGCCCATCAGTATCAGTCTCTCTGCCCTATTTTACCAGCTTCCCTCTCGGTTGTTTCCTCTGGTGTGGAAAACCTCAGTTTAGAACTGTTTGAGCCATATTGTCTCTTCTTCCTTTGCTATCCACCTTTTTAATTTTATTATTTCACAAACTGCTGGTAAAAGCTATGGGGAGGAAGGGACTAAGTTTTTGATTTGGTCATTGAAAGGACATAGGCGTAGGCAAGGACTTCACAACCAAAACACCAAAAGCATTGGCAACAAAAGCCAAAATAGACAATGGGACCTAATTAAACTCCACAGCTTCTTCACGGCAAAAGAAACAGTCATTAGAATGAATCAGCAACCAACAGAATGGGAAAAAATTTTTGCAGTTTACCCATCTGACAAAGGGCTGATATCCAGAATTGACAAAGAACTCAAACAGATTTATAAGAAAAAAAACAAGCCCATTCAAAGGTGGGCAAAGGATATGAACAGACACTTTACAAAAGAAGACATACATGAGGCCAACAAACATGAAAAAATGCTCATCATCACTGGTCATCAGAGAGATGCAAATCAAAACTACACTGAGATACCATCTCACGCCAGTTAGAATGGCGATCATTAAAAAATCTGGAGACAACAGATGCTGGAGAGGATGTGGAGAAATAGGAACACTTTAACACTGTTGGTGGGAGTGTAAACTAGTTCAACTATTGTGGAAGACAGTGTGGCGAGTCCTCAAGGACCTAGAAATAGAAATTCCATTTGACCCAGCAATCCCATTACTGGGTATATATCCAAAGGACTATAAATCGGTCTACTGTAAGGACACATGCACACGAATGTTCATTGCAGTACAGTTTACAATAGCAAAGACTTGGAACCAACCCAAATGCCCATCGATGATAGACTGGACAGGAAAAATGTGGCACATATACACCATGGAATATTATGCAGCCATCAAAAACGATGAGTTCATGTCCTTTGTAGGGACATGGATGAACCTGGAAACCATCATTCTCAGCAAACTGACACAAGAACAGAAAATGAAATACCGCATGTTCTCACTCATAGGTGGGTGCTGAACAATGAGAACACATGGACACAGGGAGGGGAGCATCACACACTGGGGTCTGTTGGGGGAAATAGGGGAGGGACAGCGTGGGGGTGGGGAGTTGGGGAGAGATAGCAGGGGGAGAAATGCCAGATATAGGTGAAGGGGAGGAAGGCAGCAAATCACACTCCCACGTGTGTACCTATGCAACCATCTTGCATAGGTACAAGATAGGCATGTCCTTCACATGTACCCCAAAACCTAAAATGCAATTAAAAAAAGACAATTAAAATAATCTATTTCATGTTGGGAAAAAAAACTTTGTTTTCTTTTGAAGTTTTTGTAGTTTTCTGAATGACATGCCACTCTTGTTTTGGCAGCATGTGACTGACTCCATCTGAATACATATGTACAATGCCTTATTTTAGCAATGGGTCAGCAAAATAATTAAAAGATGTAAGCTTTCTTACTTTGTAAGAGATGATTTTAAATTCTAAAGGTCTTGAGATTAAAGTAACTAAACACTTAAAAAAAAGACTATCTCCCTATATGGCTGGGATCATCATCTACTTACAGATGGAAAATACACAGGCCCCTTGAAAGATTGCAAGCAAACATCTTGCCTTCCCTTTCTTTCCCTCTTGGATTTCTGATCTCTATCTCTTTATATGGCTCTGCCTTCTCTTAACCCCTCGTCCTCTTCCTCAATTTAAATGGTCAGTCTCTCAGCTTCATCCTGTTCTTTCCTGAATGGATTCAGGCTTTGAGCCAGGAGAGTGCTGGAAAAAGAGGGCCTGCCCTCAGGGAGTCGCAGAGGGAGGGATCCAACCATTGGACACTTCCCAGCTTCACACAGTTTTAGGTTATTATGTTAAGAAGCCTGTCTGCCTCATTTTGCTTTTCTAGTCTATTTCGCATTCAACCCCAGGAGGAAGAAGGGTAAAGGAGAAAAAAAATCCTTCCTGCCATGAGTAACATGTAGCAGATGTTAGCTGATGATTACAAAAAGACAGTAAAGGAGGCCAAGAAACCATGGGACGGAGGGGGTGGACCACAGCAGAGGGCGGGGGAGGGAGTGGGTGTTCATTGAGCTGAATGTTCAGGGCAGATGCTCTGGAGGATTAAATTACACGAGAGTGAGGCTGCTGGTGCCGTCCCTCAGCCCTGCTCTGTAGCACTGGGAGCTATTTCAAGCCTATGGGAGAGTCTGCACTATTCCTTCTTAGGAGGCACTTTATTTCCTTCTCTGTCTTGGAAAACCATACCTAGCTCTGTATGAATGTGGGTGCCTTTTTTTAATGAAGTGCTACTTAAGGACCTGAAAGAAAAAACAGTGGCAGATGGGACCTCTGTGGGTTTTGCCTCTTCTGCAGCCATTCCCCCCTCCTCTGGTAACAGCACTATGATTTGGTGGCGTGGCGGGGTTGGCGGGGGCGGGGGGGCTGGGGGATACACCTTTTTCACTGTAAGTCCCTCTGGTTTAGGTGAGATTGATCCCATTCTGATCCCATTCTGATTCAGTAGGTCTAGGTGAAGCCCAATACCCCTGCTCCAAGCGGGGCACTTATGCCAGCCTAGGCCATTGATTACCCTGGAATGTTCATGTGACTTAAGAGAGTCAGCTCCAGGACTTTTGCTGACTCTGTTGTGAGAGGGACTTTCTGCTGCGAATGCCAAGTGGATGGTATGTAAGTCTGGAGCTGCTCCTGGCTTATTTTGTGAAAGCTTACGGGAGAATGAAGCCATCTAGAAGAGATCCGTTTGAGCAATGAAGAAGAAGATTCCGGAGGACGTTGAGCATATGGATCCAGCTGCAGCTGAAACTGACACTGCCCTGGGACTTTGCAGGTATATGTGCCTGTAGGTCTTCCCCTATCTCTCTGTTCTCACCACTTTGCATTTGGGTTTCTGTCCTTCGCACCTAATACAAGTGCCTTCGGAAAGCCCAAGAGGCTTGTCCAGGTCACTGTGCTGGGAAGAACAAAATGAGGGCAGCTATCGGCCATTGCCTCGATGCTGCTCTTGCTGTGGATGAAGCCTGGAGGCTTATTTCCAGGTCGTGTTGACTCTGAGTACACAGCTGCCTCTGAGAAAGATTGCCAGTAGGGAATCAGCAGCCAGAACTCAGCTAACAATCGTGTTCAGCTCTGTTATTGTACAGCAGTGCTCTCCAAGGACACTCGAACAGAAATGAATGCACATAAAGGTCCAACATGCATTCAGAAAGCCAGAGTCTCCACTTGTGCCCATATGCAAATGAATAATTGTTCTCAGACCCCCTGGTAGAGACAGCTCTTGGCTCACTGACATGAACTGATGTGAAAATGTTCTTTAAGTGGAAAGCAGCAGGAAGCAGCTGTTAAGGGGGCGGGCAATTAGAAAGGAGAGACCACTTTACCATTTATCCATTTGTCCAGCATACATTGATTGAGCGCCTTCTATTGTGCTAGGAACAGAAATGCTATTAAAAGACAAAGTTTGTGCTCTCAGGAAGCATGCAGTTGAGTCAGGGAGTTAGCAAGAAAATCCACTGGTAAAGAAATGTAATTGTCATTATTGAAACGGAAATAATAGGAGAGTGCCATCTACCCAACAGCATCACTCTCTTCTTCCTTAGTTTATAGACTCTGGATTTTTTCTAAAAGGCAGATGCTCATGTCCCTACCCCAGGCTCAGAGTTAACTATGATACAACTAAGCCAGTGATTCCAAATTTTGGCTTGCATGAGTCACCTGGAAGGCTTGTGAAAACCCGGATCCTGGCTCCATCCCCAGAGTTTCTGATTCAGTAGGTCTAGGTGAAGCCTAAGAATTTGCTTTTTTTTCCTTTTTTTGACGCAGAGTGTTACTCTGCGATCTCAGCTCACTGCATCCCCTGCCTCCTGGGTTCAAGCAGTTCTCCTGCCTCAGCCTCCCAAGTAGCTGGGACTACAGGCACACTTCACCATGCCCAGCTAATGTTTGTATTTTTAGTAGAGACAGGGTTTCACCATGTTGGCTAGGGCTGGTCTTGAACTCCTGGCCTCAAATGATCTGCCTGCCTCGGCCTCCCACAGTGCTGGGATTACGGGTGAGCCACTGTGCCTGGCCCAAGAATTTGCATTTCTAACAAGTTCCCAAGTGCTGCTGCTGCTGCTGCTGCTGCTGCTGCTGGCCTGAAAGATCAGATCACAATCAAGCATGTCATCTGGTTTACTGGTTCTAGTATTTGGTTTCGGGTTAGGCACATGACCAAACTCTGGCTGATTAAATGAAAGGAAAAGTCAATGGAGTTTTAGGACAGCTTTTTGCTTTGTGGTAAAACGTGAGATGGAAAGGAGGCCTATCTTTTCATCCCACCTGTGATGCAGAACTTCATCCTTAGTTCAGCTAAAACTGGGCTCTTGACAACCAGGAAAGATTAGGCTCCTGGACACATAGAAGGGTGAGGAAAATGGAATTTATTGGGCAAAAAGGAAAAAGAAAGAAAAACTCTCAGCAAAGTGAAAGGGGTCTTGCCAACAACCTCCCGCCTCACAGACTGAATCTCAGGTTACCACCCAGGCACTGAAGAGGCCAGACTCCTCCCTGCTACAAACGGTGTGAACTTCCCAAGGCTCCACCCTATCCTCCCAGTGCACAGGTGGGCGTTATTCAGAATCAGATGGGAAAGAGCAGGCTTCAATGGAGAGCAGCAGACCGTTTTTTTAGCCTTCAGGCTGTTTTAGGCTTGAAGGCAGAGTTTCACTCGGGACCCTTGGCTGTCTTCTGTCTCTATCACCTGAAAGGAGGTTATGTGGGGAGCTGCTATTTAGAGGTACTGATATGTGATGCATGTGATGATGTGCACTTGGCCAAGAGACTTGCAAAAGTCCTGATCCAGACCCCTGACATTGTCGAGGAGCTGAGCAAACCCTGGAACCACCCACCTCGGACTCTGTTGTGCAGAAAGTAAATGGTTATTCCCGTTTTCCATCGGAGCTGGAAGTATCCCAACTGAGTCAGAGGGCTACCAATCTGAGGCTGAGTAGGAGGGAGTATCAGGCAAGGCTTCCAAGAGGAAGTGGACTCTTTTCTCCAGGTCTTTAGTGAGAATGATTCCCATTTGTGCTTTGGCAAAATGACAGATGATGACACCCCATAGACTCACTTTGTAGGGTAACTTTTGAATTGCCTAAAGTAGGAATTTTAAATTTATGAGTGCCAAGGGTTTATTTCATGTGGAAATAACTGTGTTGGAACAAAGAATGAGAAAAATCATTAATTTTATCTGTGGGGAAGTCCAGGAAAAAAATTTATGCAGGAGGGCCAGGCACGGTGGCTCGCACCTGTAATCCCAGCACTGTGGGAGGCCGAGGCAGGCAGATCACTTGAGCCCAGGAGCTGGAGACCAACCTGGCGAAATGGTGAAACCTCATCTCTATTAAAAATACAAAAATTAGTGGTATGTGGTGATGCCTGCCTGCAATCCCAGCTACTCGGGAGCCTGAAGCAGGAGAATTGCTTGAATCCGGGAGGAGGAGGTTGCAGTGAGCCAAGATTGCACCACTGTGCTCCAGCCTAAGCGAGAGAGCAAGACTTTGTCTCAAAAAAAAAATTTGTGAGGGAGATGACATTGGGGCAGGCTACTAAGAGCTGATGGCACAGGCTGGGGAGTAATGTATATAGCACTAGAATCTAACAAAGTGTGAGGTATATAAGAAATACCCACATGTTTCCAGGGCTTATCTAACCTTAAGAATATATCACCTAAGAAATTAGCCGTGGTGGCCTAAAGTAGGCCAGCTACTCAGGAGGCTGAGTCAGAAGAATCGCTTGAACCCTGGAGGCAGAGGGTGCAGTGAGCCGAAGTCATGCCACTGCATTCCAGCCTGACCGACAGACTGAGACTCCGTCTCAAAAGAAAAAAGAGAAGTTTTGGCCAGGTGCGGTGGCTCATGCCTGTAATCCCAGCACTTTGGGAGGCCCAGGCAGGTGGATCACCTGAGGTCGGGAGTTTGAGACCAGCCTGACCAACATGGAGAACTTCCTGTCTCTACTAAAAATACAAAAAATTAGCCAGGTGTGGTGGCACATGCCTGTAATCCCAGCTACTTGGGAGGCTGAGGCAGGAGAATCACTTGAACCTGGGAGGCAGAGGTTGCAGTGAGCCGAGATGGCGCCATTGCACTCCAACCTGGGCAACAAGAGCAAAACTCTGTTTCAAAAAGAAAAAAAGAAGGAGGAGGAGGAGGAAACAAGAAAGAAGAAGAGGAGGAGGAAGAAGAAAAGGAAGAAGAAGGAGAAGGAGAAAGAGGAGGAGGAGGAGAAGGAGAAGCAGAAGGAGAAGGAGAAGGACAAGGAGAAGGACAAGGAGAAGGAGAAAAGAATATATCATCCAGAGGAAATGGCATGGACAGCAGCCCAAAGGCATGACAGTTTGGTGTCTCTGGGTTTGATGACACAGCTTGGTATCGTGACCTAGAGGTAGTATGGGTTAGGCTGGGCCATGCTATGAAGAAAGTGGGGAAGCACTGGATTAGATTAAATTAGAAAGCAAAATCAGGGGTCTCAGTTAGGTTAACAACAGCAGCAGCAAATCCCAATCCTCAAAGACTTCTGAAACTCAAAAGTTGAGTTCAAGAGTGTTGCCTCAAGAAGAACCCTTGCCCAGGCTGGGTGTGGTGGCCTGTAATCCCAGCACTTTGGGAGGCCAAGGAGAGCAGATCACTTGAGGTCAGGAGTTCAAGACCAGCCTTGCTGACATGTTGAAACCTGGTTTCTACTAAAAATATAAAAATTAGCTGGGCAAGGTGGCAGATGCCTGTAATCCCTGCTACTCGGGAGGCTGAGGCATGAGAATCACTTAAACCTGGGAGGTGGAGGTTGCAGTGAGCCAAGATCCCACAGCACTCCCACCTGGGCAACAGAGTGAGACTCAGTCTCAAGAAACAACAACAAAAATAACAGAAACAAAACAAAACAAAACAAAAATAACCCTTGCCCACAAAGGTTGGGTTGCCTCTCCTCTGCCTAAAGAGGCAGTACCTCCCTTGGAATAGGAATTGCTACATGACCTACTTCTCATTTTGCTATGCCAGTAACCCAAATACAAATACCACATGGCCTGGGGTGGAGCAGGGAGGGATTGAGCAGGATGGGAAATGAGCCAGGAAATGATAATAGAAAATGACTATTTGTGCAGCACGCTGGGTTAAAGATGAGACTGCTTAGAATTGGGAGTGGCCAGCCTGAGGCTCCATTCACCCAGAACATAACCACAACAATGAGGAGAACATATCGCTACATATCTGTAACCTGTTGCTTATTTGCATTTTCAAAAGCCCCGATGATATGTCTAAGAATGAATTTTGAGGAGATATAAACAAGGCTCATAGAGTATAATTTTAGTTTGGGCTAGAGTTAGTGATGTGGGTATAGTTACATGCTAGAGAAGACAGGAAGACCATTTCTCTTTGTGAAAATAGAGTTCAAAATAATTTTTTTTCAAGACAGAGTCTCACACTGTTGCCCAGGCTGTAGTGCAGTGGCGCAATCTCGGCTCACTGTAACCTCTGCCTCTTGGGTTCAAGCAATTCTCCTTCCTCAGCCCCCTGAGTAGCTGGGACTACAGGTGTGTGCCACCCCACTCAGCTAATTTTTTTTGTATTTTTAGTAGAGATGGGGTTTCACCTTGTTGGCCAGGATGGTCTCGATCTCCTGACCTTGTGATCCGCCTACCTTGGCCAAAATAATTTTAAACAATGTTCATCAAAACAATTCAGAAAAGTATAAGAAAGAAAATTAAATCACTTGAAATCTCATACATTGATAATAGCTTAATAATTGTTCTCAGTTTGCTGGAGTTGGCTGATGTAGCCCTGGATCCAC